GCCACATTTGAACTAAACTAAGACCACCCCTCTTATGCCCTCTCCATGACCCCAACTTCCTGAAACAGATTGAACTTCTCCCTGGGTATGACTGATGACAACTATTAACCACATGCCTTAACCATGCCTGATGCACTTTTTACGACCCTACCCTTCAACTGTGTACTTCCCTGCTCCCCATAGCCAGTCAGGTTAAATATCAACTACCCCAAGACCTTATGAGTAATGCCAAAGCTTGTGACTCCTACTTGTGGTTTTTCCCTCTATAAACACTACTCTAGAATACTCAGGACTGTACTGTCTCCTGAGTGCGGAGTCACTGCCCATGTTCAGATCTGCTTCAATAAATGCCCTGTTGTGTTTCCATTGGATTCTGGCTTCTGGTGATTGACTGGAGTCTCACAACATAACAAAACAGTATCCTACAACTCTGGCATCTCTTTAATTTCTTGGTTTCTCCAAGGCAATCCCTCACAGATTCACTCAATGGCCTCTCTAGGCCTCCATTCAGGGACACCCCTGACACATGCCTGGTCTCAGCAGCTTTATTTCGGCACAGGGGTAAATTCTATACCCTGTTTCTATCCATAACGCTAAGGCCAGGACCACATAGCCAAAGCTGCCAAGTTCTGCTGTCTATTGAGGCTGAAACATGACCCCAGTATTCAATAACTTTTTTTTTTTTACCAGCTTTCTGTCCTGTGCTGCCTAAGCTTGACTCTCCTGAAACTTGCTTTGCAGAATAGGTTGGCTTCAAACTCAGAGCTTCATCAGCCTCTTCCTTCTCAGTGCTGAGCTTAAAGATGTGCACACCACACCAAGCTCTCAGCTTTTTCTTTTAGTTACTTTTCACAAATTGGAAACTTACTTGGGTGGGATTTTGCCCTGAGGTCACTGCTGAGTTTATTCCATTTCTTAATCCATTTATCAACGTGAACACAGATTTTAGCTCCTTTCGACTTTCTGGTGCTCTTTTTCTCCTCAAAATTTATATTCTGTAATTTACTCTGCTTAGATTGCTCCTTTTCATTATGAATCTTCATTAGAGTTACTACTGATAACCACATAAGAGAGTCTATACTAGACTCTTTTGAGATTTCTTCTGCCAACAGAACTGATCCAAAACCCTTCACTTTAGCGTCAGGCCTACTCTTTGAAAAAAAGAAAGAGCAGCCACTTCTTGACCAAAGTATCACAAGACCAGTCTCTAGGCCACATAATAACAATCTCCTCTGAAACCTCTTGATCACTACAGTTCATCAAATCATGTCCAGTATCACTGTCTTCCATGCTCCTCCTTGAATGGCCCATTAGATACTGCTTAAAGTATTCTTTTGCTTTCCAAACCCAAAGTACCAAAGTCCAAACAAAAGCATGACCATGCCTACCACAGCAATACCCCAGTTTCTGGTGCCACTGAGTTAGGACTTTTATTCCTGTGAAGAGACACCATGACCAAATCAACCAATCAATAAGTGAAAAATATACCATTGAGATAGCACCTTACAGTTTCAGAGCTTCAGTCCATTGCCATTAAGGCAGGAGCATGGAAGCATAAAGGCAGATGTGGTGCTGAAGGAGTAGCTGAAAGTGCTACATCTTGCAAGCAATGGGAAGCCAACTTAGAAACTGAGCAGTAGTATCCTCATCAATGGAAACCTCAAAGACTGCCCGAACAGTGACACACTTTCCCCAAGAAGGTCATACCTACTCCAACAAAGCCACACTTCCCAATATTGCCATTCCCTATGAGATTATAGCGGCCAACTACATTCAAACTACCATATCCTTACATCATTCAGAATGGCTAAGGTCAGTAAACAAATGACAGTTCTTGCTCATGAGGATGTGGAATACTAATCCATTGCTGGTGGGAATATAAACTTGTACAGCCATTATGGAAATCAGTAGGGCAGTTCATAATAGAAACAGGAAATGATCTACCTCAGGGTTCAGATATACCACTCTTAGGCCTATAACCAAAGGGTGCTTTATTCTACCACAGAGTCCTTGCTGGTCCATGTTTATTGCTGCTTTATTCAATGTAGTCAGTAATTGAAACAACCTATATGCCTGTCAACAGATGAATGGATAAGGAAAAATATCAGACAATTAGATAGCAGAATATTATCTGCCATTATAAAAATAAAATCACAAAATTTATAGGTAAATGGGAGGAACTAGAAGTAACTCAGTGCAGTATCTCAGACCAGAAAGTCAAATTTATAGGTAAATGGGAGGAACTAGAAGTAACTCAGTGCAGTATCTCAGACCAGAAAGTCAAATATTGTACTTATTTATTTATATGTAGATGTTATCAATTAAGTCATTGATAAGTGAGCTTTAAAAACAATGCGTATATAAAACAGTGATTAGGTAGAGATTAAGGTAATAAGAAGTGATGAACTTCCCTAGAAAGGGGAAATAGAATAGATAGTTATGGACAGATGAGGGGAGGGGACAGGAATGGGAGGATCAAACAGGAAGAGGGAGGGGGAGAATGACAAAGGGAATCGTGTGGGACAGCTAAAACTCAGAAACACTTGAGAGGTCATCTGAAAACCTAATGCAGTAGAAGCTTCCCATTATTTATACATATACATATATATATATATATAATGATGATATAAATGTAGTTGACAAATAATAGGGAAGACAGAGCCCCCAATTGACTTCTCTTATTACCAAATGAAGTTTACAGTACTCAAAATCGGTTACATCTAATCAAGATTTTTGACAAAAGGGGTAACATGGGAACCCCCAAGGAACCTAGGCTATTGCCATAACTTTTGGTGGCTTTTCACAAACTGACAGTAAGGCCTCATTGCTGAGAACAACAGGTATACAACTTGTTGAAATGGAGAAGTTGACTTAGTATCTACTTAGGGCCTTTGCTCATATGGACTAGTATTTATGGTACTAGAATGTCCTTTCCATACTGTCAAAGGAGGAACATAAATACCAAGCTAGCTATAAACCCTTCCTTCTATAAGAGTGACCTGCCTGTAAGGTTGGTGCAATAGTGGCACAAAGTATATGGGAGTAACAAACAAATATCCGATTGGGTTTAAAGGCCACTCAATGAAAGAGTTGGAAAAACACAATAGAAACCCTAAGTAAGACAGATGCATAGCACCTATATCTTTTGTTTCAAACTCCACAATGGCAAATCCCTTAGGATCCCCAGTAGACTTCTAACATGAAATATTTATATAAACTACCAGGCTCAATACTCAGGAGGCAGAGGCAGGCAGATCTCTGTGAGTTCAAGGCCAGCCTGAACTACAAAGCAAGTTCCAGTGCGGAAACACTCTTGAAACATCAAAATATAGAAGATAGATAGATAGATAGATAGATAGATAGATAGATAGATAGATAGATGATAGATGGATGATATATGGATAGATGCCACATTTGACAAGCCATGTGTAACATTTTTCATAAGTGCCATGAACACAGTTTAAGCATTTTAAAATTTCTACATTTCACCAAAAAATAAAAACTACAATTAAAAAAAAAACAGCCAAAAAAATAACCCAACCATTTTAGATCCTCACAATCCAGGTCTTGATGTCCTCAGACCTCTATAATTAACATTTACATATTCTATTAACATGTGATAAATAATTTGCTTTGAAGTACCTAAGTCACTTTCTTATTACAATTCAAGTTTCACAATCCTGATGTGAGATTCTCCTCTGTATGCTGTGATTGTCATTGATTAATAAAGAAACTGCTTTGGGCCTATAGCAGAGCAAAACAGAGCTAGGTGGGAAAAACTAAACTAAATGCTGAGAAAAAGAAGGCAGAGTCAGAAAAGGTCACAGAGCCTCTGCCAGAGACAGACATGCCAAAACTACCAGTAAGCCACAGCGACATTGCAATACACAGATTAATGAAGATGTGATGTGGGAAAGTCATTTGTCAATCTGTTTTGAGTTGATTTCATTGATTAATAAAGAAACTGCCTTGGCCCTTGATAGGACAGAAAATTAGGTAGGCGGAGTAAACAGAACAGAATGATGGGAGGAAGTGAGGCAATCGCCATGCCTCTCCTCTCTTAGCAGACACGATGAACCTCCAGCCCAAAATGGACATACACTAGAATCTTCCTGGTAAGCCACCACCTCTTGGAGCTACACAGATTATTAGATATGGGTTAAGCAAGATGTGAGAGTTAGGCAAGTAGAGGCTAGAGCTGATGGGCCAAGCAGTGTTTAAAAGAATACAATTTATGTGTTGTTATTTCGGGTGTAAAGCTAGCCATATGGAAGCCAGGTGGGACAAAAAGTAAGCCTGCTCGTCTCATCACTACAGAGAGGAGTTAGTTTAGGATATATGAGTTAGCCAGAAATACACTTAAGCTATTGGCCAAAGAGTATTGCAAATAATATAGTTTCTGTGTGATTATTTTGGGGCTGAGCAGCCAGGAAAAAAACAAACAAGCAGCCTTCTACAACAACATCCTTGGACATTTAAAACTTTCATTTATACATATTAATACACCTTTTTAGACCCTAAGACTTTTTTTAATCCTCACAACTTAAAGTTGAACTTTACATAATTTTTCTTCCTATTCATTTACCAGGAGACATAGGCAAATGATTTCTAACAGCAGTTGTCAGAGTGAATTTAATTAAGTAAGGTATATTTAAAAAAAATCTGTTTTGTGAGTTTATCAGTTTTCTGAGTTTGGTAGCCAGGCAAACTGTATCTAGATCTTGTAGCAGCTCTAGAAAAATAAGGCCTGTGGCCTGAATTTTACATACAAATAGGACAGAGAAGGAAGCTGAAATTTTGGGAAATGAATTGAGTACTTGTTGTCTATTAAAGCTACTTATTATCAAAATTGCATTATAATAAGACCTTTTATGAACTTAAGATGTTTTATATCCTTACAAATACTAAATATTTCCAAAAGATGTTTTAAAATATATATTTAGTATTGTTGTAATTTAAGTATAAAATTTTTATTTCTTTCTTAAAAAAAGAATAATATTGTGCTTGCTTCAGCAACACATACACTGAAATTGGAATAATACAGAGAAGATCACCATGGACCATGCACAGGGATGACAGGCAAATTCGTAAAGTAATACTAAGGTTTTTTTTTGCCTGTAAGGTCCGTGGAACCCTGCAACACAGTCTGCATCACTACTGAGCAGACCTAAGAGAGAGCAGACCAAGAAAAACTCCCAAGTACTTAAAGAGCCACAGCAAAGAATGGATCAAGATGCCAAGACTCTGCTGGCCTCATTTGAAGGAAGAGAAGGGTAGGCACCAGTGCAAGAATTCCCACAACATCCTGAAAAGCAACAATGATCTAGCAAACACGCAACAGGAAGACTTGAATATCCTAAACCAGAAGAAGGAGAAGAAAATAACTTAAAACATAACCTGATATAAATGATGAAGACCTTTAAACAGAAGCAGAAAACTTCCTTAAAGAAATGGAAAAGAAGACAAACAAAAGGTAGGAAGAAATTAATAAATCCTCAAAGATACCCAATAAAACCAAGAAAAAGCAATCAAACAGGTAAAGGAAGCACTTCAAGACTTGAAGACCGAAATGAAGGCAATAAAGAAAACACAAACTGAGGGAAGGCTGGATATGAAAATCTGGGTAAATGAACAGGGAGTACAGAGACAAGTATAACCAACAGAATACAAGAGATAGAAGAAAGAATCTCAGGCACTGAAGATACTATGGAGGAAATAGACTCATTGATCAACGAAAACATCAAATCCAACAAATTCTTAACCTAAAACATCCAGGAATTCTGGGATGCTACTAAAAGACCAAACCTAAGAATAATAGGGGTAGAAGAAGGAGAAGAACTCCAGCTCAAGGGCACAGAAAATATATTGAACAAAATTATAGAAGAAAGCTTTCCCAACCTAAAGAAGGATATTCCTATGAAGGTAAAAGAAGCTTACAGAACACCAAATAGATTGGATCAAAAAATAAAATAAAAGACACCCTCTTGCCATACAATAATAAAAACACAAAACATACAGAATAAGGAAAGAATATTAAGAGCTGCAAGGGAAAAAGGTCAAGTAACATATAAAGGGAAACCTATCAGAATTACACCTGACTTCTCAATGGAAATCATGAAAGTCAGAAGGTCTTGAATAGATGTGCTGCAGACACCAAGAGACCATGGATGCAAGCCCAGACTACTATACCCAGCAAAGCTTGCATTCACCATTGATGGGAGAAAACAAGATATTCCAGGACAAAAACAGATTTAAACAATACATAGCCCCAACCCAGTCTCAAAGAAAATACTAGAAGGAATACCACAAACCAAGGAAGCCAACAACACCCATAATAACACAAGTATCTGACAATCTTCCACCAGCACAACTCAAAGAAGGGAAACACACAAACTCTACCACCAAAAAAATAACCTGAGCTAACAACAACTGGTCACTAATATCACTTAATATCAATGGACTCAATTCACCTATAAAAAAGCACAAGTTAAGAGATTGGATATGAAAACAGGATCCGACATTCTGCTGTTTACAAGAAACACACCTCAACCTCAAAGACAGACACTACCTCAGAGTAAAGGGTTGGGAAAAGGTTTTCCAATCAAATGGCCCAAAGAAACAAGAGGGTGTGGCTATATTAATATCTTAAAAAATTGATTTCAAACTAAAATCAATCAGAAAAGATGGAGATGGATACTTTATACTCATAACAGGAACATTTCATCAGGAGGAAGTCTCAATCCTGAATATCTATGCTCCAAATATAAAAGCACCCACATATGTTAAAAAAACATTACTAGAACTCAAAGCATACATCAAACCCCACACTCTAATAGTAGGAGATTTCAACACTCCTCTGTCACCAATGGACAGGTGAACCAGACAGAAACTTAACAGAGAAAAAAAGAGAACTAACAGATGTAATGAACCAAGTGGCCTTAACAGGTATCTATAGAATTCCACCCAAAAAGAAAAGAATATAACTTCTTCCCAGCATCTCATGGAACCTTCTCAAAAATTGATCACATAATTGGTAACAAAGCAAACATCCATAGATACAAAGGAATTGTAGTAACCACCTGTGTACTATCTGATCACTATGAAATAAAGTTAGACTTCAACAAAAATTCTACCACCAGAAAGCCTACAAACTCATGGAAACTGAACAGTCAACTACTGAACCACCCCTGAGTCAAGGAAGAAAAAGATAAAGAAATTAAAGTCTTTCTTGAATTCAATGAAAATAAAGACACAACATACCCAAACCTATGGGACACTATGAAAACAGTGCTAAGAAGAAAGTTCATAGCACTAAGTGCCCACATAAAGAAAATGGAGAAAGCACACATTAGAGACTTAACAGCACAGCTGAAAACTCTAGAAAAAAAAAGAAGGGACTCACCCAGGAGGAG